ACTCATAAGTCATCTATTTACTTTTACTTTGAATGCACATCAGATGCCAAATTGGGAGTGTCACCATTTTGTTTTTCTTGATTTTTATCAGTTGGTTTTCCACAGATTAAAAAAAAATATATATTCTTTTTTAGTTTTATTTCATAACACAAAAATGGCATAAACTCATAAAGTAATCTTTGTTTTGTGCATCACTTTATTTACAAAACATTTTTCCCCTCCACAGACAATCCTTTTACGTATTTGTTCCTTCAAATTATCAGAATGCCTCAAATGATTATATATGTGTCATTTTAGTTACGAGAGAGGTCTTTTATTTATTCCTCTTACACAATATTTTTAAGAACTTGAGGTTGTCTTATAACAACAATTAGAGAAAATAATTTAGGAGATAAGAGTCACAGTTCACTAATTAATTTCTTCCAAGTTATCTTTCACTTAGAGTATACATTGTAGATGAAGTTTATCTTAGTTATGTTATTCAATAATCTTATTGGATTTTATAATGTTTGGTTAACCTCCACGAATTATTATATTTTAATTGAACCTATAATAATTACATGGGTCTATTACGGGTTTAACCTCCATGAATTATAGAAAATGTTCTGTGCCATTAAAACAAATAGCTAATAAGATACCCCTTTCGTCTCGAAATTAAGTTTTGGGTTTGAATTCACGGGTTTTTAGGTACGATAGAATACAAAGGTGGCTTTCGAAAATTTCCCTTGAGTTATTAGAAGATTTAATACCCAATGGGTACAATAAATGGGGTAAATGAAATGTGACTAACACACATCCAGTGGTGGACTCGGGCCGGGTTGGGCCGTGTCGGGCCTAGGCCCGAATGGGCCGGCGGTTTCCGGGACCGGCCCGGGTAGCCACCGGGCCGGGCCTCCGGTTTGGTTATTTTTTTTGCTTTTCTAACCCCCCCCCCCCACCCCCAAACCCCTCCTAACCATCAAGCCCAACCCGGGTGGAACCCCAAAAAATGAAAAAAAAAATCAATTCGGCCCGGACCCGGGCCCGACCCGGCCGGTTCGCCAAATGTAAGACCCGAGCCTGGACCCGCCCCCACCCGGGCCTAGGCCCGACCCGGACCTGGACCCGAGAACCGGGCCGGTCCCGGTCCCGCACAGTAGCGGGCCAGTCCCGGTCCCGCACAGTAGCGGGCCGGTCCCGGTCCCGCACAGTAGCGGGCCGGTCCCGGTCCCGCACAGTAGCGGGCTGGGCCGAGCCACGCGCCGGGTGGCCCGACCCGAAGCACCCCTACACACATCAATTCAATAATCTTATGTGAGGATAAACAAGTAAATGAATAATAAAACTCACTAAATATAAAAAGGAGTGTAAGTAGAAACTTTATATTGAAACATTCTAAATAGAAAGGTGAAACTTATGGAGTACAATTTTTGTGTATGATGTATAATTGTTAATCTTAGCATGATGTATAGTTGAAAAAATACTTCATTTATATTATTTAAATTACATATTGAGTGATGCTATATTTAATGTGATGAGTTTTATATCCTTATTCTATAGTGATTTGTCGAATTATATCCTTGGTCAAATACTGGTGTAGATTTATGTGACACAAGACAGAAGTAATAATAAACAAAATGTTCAAGACTTTAAAAAAATCATTCAATTTTTGTTTCATTCGTAGTAGTCGCAGGTATTGTAAAAAATCATTCAAGTCTAAATTTGTAAAAATCCTTCAAGTCTTGGTTCATTCTGAGCAAATGTATACATGCAAGAATGAGAATGTTTGAGGCCGTGATATGGGTATAATTTCTACAAACTACAATCACAAATGAGGATATAGCTGACCTCATTTAAAGCTTACATGTGAATATATGATGTAGAAGCATTAGAATAAATGTATTTAATTGGAGAAGCTTGCTTAACTTGATACTATGTCACTTTTTATAGAATGTTACGTTAAATTGTCAATGGAATATGATTTTTGAAAAAAAAAAATCATGATTTTGGAAGAAAGATTAATATTTAAAATAGTACACTCCAATGGTTTTTAATGACTATGCAATTAAATTGGTATCCCGTGCAACGCACGGGTGAAAGACTAGTTGCTCTAAATAGGATTAAATTGTTGCTGCAATTCCCAAATAGGAGTAGCTATAATTTTATTCCCGAAATGGGATTATTATTCCAATTTTATCCTCTCCCACGCCATCTGCTACCTTTTCTACGTGCATCAGCCCCAAATGAGTTTCTATTATTCCCCCTCTACCTACGCACATCAACTTCTATTCTCCAGACATCAATTTCTCTTCTCCCTAAATGAGTTTCTATTTTATGCAAATCAACTTATCTTCATCCCTAATTTCTTCTCAAACTTTGCACCTCGTTTTTAAAATTCTTTGTTTTTGCACCCCACCCCCGTATGAAAAGACAAAATGCCCCTCAATTGTTAATGGGGGCATTTTTGTCTTTTCATATGGGTTGGGGTGCAAAAACAAAGATTGTTAAAAACGAGATGCAAAGTCCAATTTCTACAATAAAATGGGGTGCAAACTCAAATTACCCCATAATATAACGTTCTCACCTAATAATATGTGGTAAAAAAACTCAAAATATGTATGTACACGTATCACTCTCAGTGTTCGATTAAAAGATTATCCCTTGGTTTTTAAAAAAGAAAAGAAAGTGTCAAATTGGCTCGCGTACTCTGTACGGAAAGTCAATTAAGCCCCCGTACTTTAAGTTTCATCAATTAAGGGTTGGTTTGCAACTCCTTTTAAGGAGTGTTTGCAGTTGATTAAAAAAGCACTTTTCAGCTTTTGGCTTAAAAAAAGTTAAAAAGAGTGTTTTCAAATGACAGCTTCTGTTTAAATTAATCACTTAAAAGCTAAAAGCTGGAAGCAGGTGGAAGGGTGTTTTAAACTGCTTTTCACTTTTTCTATTACACAAAAAGTACTTATTTTACCAAACACTACCAACTTTTACTTTTTCAGAATCACTTTTTTCTCAAATACTACCAACTTTTACTATTAATCACTTTTTCCCAAATCACTTTAAAAAATCACTTTTTTAAAGTTGAAGCAATTGCAAACACTCCCTTAAAAAAACACTTCTCAGCTTTTGGCTTTAAAAAAGCACTTATTTTCCCAAACACTACAACTTTTATTTTTCTCGGCTTCCATGTCAAAAGTGCTTTTACTTTTTCTATTACACAAAAAACACTTATTTTACCAAACACTACCCACTTTCACTTTTCAAAATCACTTTTTTCTCAAACATTATCAACTTTTATTTAATCACTTCTCCCCATTTTATTAAAAAAACACTTTTTAGGGAGTGTTTGCAATTGCTTCAACTTTAAAAAAGTGATTTTTTAAAGTGATTTTGGGAAAAGTGATTAATAGTAAAAGTTGATAGTGTTTGAGAAAAAAGTGATTCTGGAAAAGTAAAAGTTGGTAGTGTTTGGTAAAATAAGTACTTTTTGTGTAATAGAAAAAGTGAGAAGCAGTTTAAAGCACCCTTCTACCTGCTTCCAGCTTTTAGCTTTTAAGTGATTAATTTAAGCAGAAGCTGTCATTTGAAAACACTCTTTTCAACTTTTTTTAAGCCAAAAGCTGAAAAGTGCTTTTTTTAAGCAAACCCAAACACTCCTTAAGTCCTCCTACTTTGTTATTTTTGTCAAACCCGACTTTTAGTAGGTAACCCGCTCGGTCACCAGGTTACCTGGTGACGTGACGCCTGCGTGGTCTGACACGATGCACACATGGCAAGCCACATCATTTTTTCTTTTCTTTTTCTTTTTCTTTTCTTTTCATTTTTCTTTTCCTTTCCTTTCTTTTCCTTCCCTTTCTTTTCTCTCTCCCTGTTTCCCCTTTCCCACTCGATCTTCTTCTTCAACCTCCAGCCCCTCATCTCCCCTGCAAAAAAACCCTCCAACCCCCTCATCTCCCTTCATAAAAAAAAACTCAAGCTCGGTCTTTCATTATTTCTCTCTTTCTCCCGTTTTTCTTCGCCAACGACCGGCAAAAACACACACTATTTATTCAAAGATCGATTATTGCTCATAACTCAAACGTGGACGATTTTTATTTGTTTTTGATAGACATGGCAATGGGTCAGGGCGGGGCGGGTACTCCAAGACCCGGACCCGCCCTATGATCTACACGGGCCCAAACTTGTTGACCCATGACCTGCCCCGCCCCGTTGTATCCTAATTTGCTAGTATGTAATTTTATTTGTGGGAAGTTGTTACTCATTGAATCTACATAAAGTTTTTCTCGAAATACTAATTAGAAATTAATATATTAAATAAAATTCATGATACGCTAAAAATTTCAAAAAATAAGGAAAAATTACTCAGACTTGAATAGTTAATCTATTTAATTATATCAATAATTGAATATATGTATTAAAATGCTATATATAAAGAAGATATTGATAATCTGTCGTTCATCTCATTCTAATATATATTAATATATTATAAGATAAAATTTTTTATGATTTATTGTATACACGCATATGTATGTTGAAGTATATTTGTAGTATAATTTAAGAAAAAGTATGTATACTTATATATTGAGCGGGTCGGGGCAGCACGGGTCAATACTAATACCCGGACCCGCCCCATTGTATAGGCGGAGCAGGGCGGGCCGGACCCGCCCCAAATGTCTCGGGCCAGGGCGGGTCATTGCGGGTCGGTTTTTTTTTACATCCCTAGTTTTTGAGACTAAGGGAGTGTTTCCAATTGCTTCAACTTTAAAAAAGTGATTTTTTAAAGTGATTTTTGGAAAAGTGATTAATAGTAAAAGTTGGTAGTGTTTGAGAAAAAAGTAATTATGGAAAAGTAAAAGTTGGTAGTGTTTGGTAAAATAAGTACTTTTTGTGTAATAGAAAAAGTGAGAAGCAGTTTAAAGCACCCTTCTACCTGCTTCCAGCTTTTAGCTTTTAAGTGATTAATTTAAGCAGAAGCTGTCATTTGAAAACACTCTTTTCAACTTTTCTACGCCAAAAGCTGAAAAGCGCTTTTTTTAAGCAAACCCAAACACTCCTTAAATTGGAGTTCCTTGGCTAGAAACGATGAGTCCCTATATAGTACACCCGGGTGTACGTACATCCAGACCCAATTATTGAGTTTGACTGGTGGGCTGACCCAATTATTGAGTTTGACTGGTGTTCATTACTCAGCCGTTGATTTTCCCAGCGAATCACGACCATAGGACACAAATTTGACTGGAGCGACTTTCTTCCCATGGCCGCCTTTCCATTTGCGATTTTCTTCCCAGCCTGAGTATTATGTATGCGTTTCCCACATTTGCATGTGTTTTCTACATTTCCATCATGGCATAAATAATTTGTTAAAAAAAAGATTTTTTTGTGTAGTCTATACAAATTGTCCGTAAACCAAAGAATTGTACAAAGCATTTAAATATATTCATTATTGCAATAGTGTAATGTATTGTAATTAAATTATTTAAATTAGACTCCAGATTAAATTAGGCTCGTATACTCAACGTAATAGGTCTGATGCTCATTAAAATTTATCGATCGCTAAATGAGCAATAGTGTACTTTTAATGAGCATCTGACCTATTGTATTGAGTAATATGGGGCTAACAATGAGTATAACAATCTCAGCTTCATATCTTCTAATTATTTTTCTTTTTTAATATTTTCTTTTACAAAAACTTATTAAATTATATCTATAATTCACTCATATTAATTTGAATATGCAAGTCTAATGTAATATGATACTTTTGAAATATACATGGATATGACATTTTCAAAATGAGCATAACATCAGAATCAAATGAGCATACATAACTTACAAAGTATACATTGATATGAAAATCGTAAGGTTTGGTAGTTGAACATCACAACATTTTAATTGAGCATCAAACCTTCGACATTAAGATGAAAATCAAGATTTCTAGTGAATGAGTATTAATGAATTGTTAATGAGCATCAGACTTATTATATTGAGTATTAAGAGTCTAATATTCAGAATCGTGATCTTTGCTTCATAACTTCTAATTCACTTTCTTTTTGTTAGTTTTTCTTTTATAAAAACTTATTAAATTATATTTATAATCAACTGTTATGAATTGTAATATGTGAACCTGATGCAAAATAGAATAGTACTTTTAAAAAATGCATTGATATGACATTTAGAAAAATGAGTATAAGATGAGTACCAGATGAGCATAGTAACTTACAAAATGCTCATTGATATGAAGATCGTAAGATTTGTTAGTTGAATATCACGATTAAAATGTGCACTTTGTAAGTTATGTTTGCTCATTTGGTACCGATGATATGCTCATTAATAAAATGTCATATCAATGCACATTTTAATTGAGCATCAACCTCCACTATTGAGAAGAAAATCACGACTTCTGGAGAATGAGTAATAATGAACTTTTAATGAGCATCAGACCTATTATATTGAGTATTAGGAGTCTAATATAAAATACTCCGTAGTAATTTTAAAATGGATTGATATGACATTTATAAAATGAGCATATGATCAGTCTCAGATGAGCATACGTATCAAACATCGTCTATTGAGATTGATGAAAATCATGAATTCTATTAAATGAGCATTAATGAATTGTTAATGAACATCAGACCTATACAAATGAGCATATGTAATTTACAAGATGAACATTGATATCAAAATTGTAAGTTTTATTAGTTGAGCATCAAGACATTTTCAGTGAGCATCAAACCTCCGTTATTGAGTATTAGAAACTGCGATTGAGTATCAAGATTTGTGGTCTCGTGTCTATAATCAACTCTTATATAAATCTAATGTAATATGAGACTTTTGAAATGCGCATTGCTAAAACATTTTAAGGTAAAAATGAGCATAACAGAGATACTAAATGAAATACAAAAAAAAAAGAGATACTAAATGAATATACATAATTTACAAAATGAGTATTCAAAAATTCAAAAGATCATTTATGTATGTTCATTTTTTTAGACGTTTTACTCATTTAAGTTTAAGGTAAAACTCAATTCTAATGTGCTCGGTATAATATATATAAATACGAAAAGAAGTACGGAGTAAACAACAAATAAAGAAAGGAAAAGAAGTAAAAAAAAAAGACAAAACAAAAGAAAGTGAAATAAAAAAACATAACAAAATGACAAAAGTAAAACATACTAATAAGAATGGATGGCTACAGAAGAAAAGATGATGGAAGGGAAGGAAAGAAACAAAGATGATGGTTGCGGAAGAAACGAGGATGGCAGGGAAGGAAAGAAACAAAAGATGATGTCGGCGGAAGAAAAGATGATGGCAGGGAATGAAGGAAAAAATATACGAAGTCGGCGGAAAGAAAAAAGGAAGAGAATGGCTGCTGAAGAGGATGCTGATAGGATTGAAGTTGGTTTATTTACAAAATTACCTGAGTGTACCAAGAGGAAGATATAGCCGGGTGTACCATATATTTTACCAGAAATGATGCTCTATATCAATTTTGAAGAGCTGGGGACGAGATTTGGTGATTGGTTTATAGCCGGTAGGAAAATCCTTTTTTGGACTCCTCTGGCATTTTTTCCTGCGACATCGGGGCTCGGCACAAAAATTAAAATATGCAAAGGAGGTCGCCGTGAACAGGCGCACCTCCTCATATTTTTTGTTTAATTTTCCGAGCACCCTCCATTTTTTCGGTTACTGTTCATGCAGGCGGCTATGGAGAGGAAGAAGGTTGGCAGGGAAGAGAAAAGAAAGAAGAAAATGAAAAAAATATGATGTGGCCGCCACATGTGCGCTATGTCAGGCCACGTGTGCGCCCAACTTTTATTCGACCATGATATGAATGCAATGTTTAGATTGAATTGGCTTTCATGCCACGATTTTATCATTCATTCTGTAAATTCTTCATGATTGTTTCACTTTCTCTTCTTTTTCCCATTATTTGTTTAATCTCCCGTCTATAAGTGTTTGATTCCATGTTGTAGTTGTCACTCGTATGTGGTATGTGGTCGGAGAGGCCTGTTCTATGACTATTTTGCTGGATTATACATTTAGAGTGTACTAGGCTACTAGCAAATCTTCAAAGATCAGTAATATATGTTGGCTCCAAGGTCCCAAGCCATGAGCATTTTCAGTCAGTTTTGGAAGGAAAGTTTCCAAGTCGGTCAGACAAGAGTATGAAAATGAGTTGGGTGCACAGAACGATACTGACGGCAGCAGAGTGTCCTCGCCTCACTAAATTCACTTTCCACCCCCTAAGATGGTATGTATGAGATTCTTCTAAGACATCTTTTCACCAAATCAAGTTATCCATATCTGTAGCATTTTAAATTGCTGCTTCTTGAATCTTATTTCAATGGGGGTGTATAAGGGTATGCAAGATTTGCTAATTCCCTGAGTGTTTTGGAGCCGAATGATTATGTGAAAATCCATCAAGTAATTAACATGGGGGTTTAGATTTCATAGACCTAAATGTTTTTTTTTTTCATATTTAGAGGAAAGGGATGAAAGATGTTTCAACAGATTTGCAATGTTTTGTTAAATTGCAATAGGCACTAGTTCTGTTTCACTTGTTTATATGAATTCCTGCTATTTCACCAATTATATATACTCCATATGCCCTGTTTTGTCCATCCTATTTAGTGTTTATTTCTATTGATTGGCCAAACCAACTCTCGTCTCTTGCTTACCAATACTCAATGAAGTATTTTAATAAAGGGAAGCCTGATGCACTCATGCACAAGGGTGTATAAGGGGCAAGCCTTCTACACAATTGTTATAAAAGTAGACTATCTCTTTTTGGGACCAAGGGAGTAATATATTACAGCATTAATGAGTTGATTTTAGACTATTTGCTCTCTCTATAGTTTGCACAATTTTTGTATTATGGATGATGCTAATGGTAAAATAGTAGAATTATTTGCTTGGAAAAAAATTGTTCTAGTGTGGAGTTATAATGTGTTAATCATTCGATCATCTTATGTAGATTTTGGTTTTTACAATTTTAGATATGCACCTTTTGTGTGTTAAATTTAAAGTTCATTCATTTATTAAAGTGGATCATGTCCAGGTAGAAGTGGAGTTTGAAAATGGTAGTCTGTATCATTTGTCAGCTTAGTATCTCAGAATTTATAGCCCAGCAGCTGATAGTAAGATCGGTTCAGTTGGGGGTGAAAAGGTATAACAACAAGAGGTTGCACTGCATTATTGTTTCTTCTTGCATGATAAATTTGCAGTTAACTAATTGTCACTCTTTATTATTATGGATCTTTGTTGACCTGAACGAATGTTACACCAAATTTTGTGCCTTGGGGGGGGGGGGGGGGGGAGATGTCGTTGAGTCGCAGAACCATGATGATGTATGGGTGCAGGTGATATGTGGGAGGCGCTATGTTGGAATGATGACAACAGAGCCGATAGGGAACTACGGCGTGAGGTTGTTGTTTGATGACATGCACAAGACTGGCATCTTTACATGGGACTACTTGTTTCATCTCGGGAGCAACAAGTTCACTCTCATGAGAAATTACATCAAAACCCTCAAGAAGCACAGGTTGAGCCGCGATCCACGACCACTTGTTAGAAGAACCAAGTGACAGAATCTTGTGTACTCTCCTGTCACCACAGTTGATTGAACAAGATCGTATAACTGCATTTGTGTCTGCACTCTTCCTTCTGTGTTCTCAGACAATCAACCTTTTATTTCCTTCAGGATTTATAAAACTTAATTAAAGAAATGGATTTAATAAGTAGTCTTTTATTGCCTTGTCTGCATCATTGTGGCTTAAAGAGCATGGTTGGGACTGCCCAGTATCAGTTGTTAAAAGATATTCATTGTGATGGTTTCCAAATAATGTAATTAATATTTTCGAAATAGCTTTGTAAGTACATCTCTATTTTGCTTGTTCTTAATTTTCTTGACGAGAAGTGCATACGAATCCATCTCACTTGAGAGTTAAACATTCTTTATATTTTATATTACTCCATATTAAACTACACCAAATGTGATGTTTTAAAAAACTACGGAGTAACTCGCAAAAAAAAAAAACTACGGAGTACTACTTATCATCGCAAGTAATTTTTCATGTACAAGTATATTACACGAGAAATGGAAAACGGGTCTTGGGCCTCACTTTTTAGGACTGTGACCGGCTGGTCCCGATCTCAGTCTAATTGTTTTTCATTAGAACCACCGGGAAGTAATTTAAAAGGGGTAAAAATTTCTTTATCTAAAACTTAAAAGGGTTTTAAGATATGAAAAAAACAGGACTGTGGAGATCCGGAACTAGTCTGGAATTAGAAGAATAGGTTCTGAGCTGCACTAATTTTCATGGTCAGCCGGTCCAGAACGGAGGCTGCCCATTCCTGTGGCGGACGGTTTTTTGGCAAAGCTACCATTGGTGCCACAATAATGGCAGCCTCGTCAAAAACACAAGATTTGAAATTTCTCCCTCCCTAATCCCTATTCAAGAAAGGGTTCGTCTATGGTTTATACTTAAAGTGTCGTTGGATACCTTTTTTACCAATCAGATAGTATGTTGCCATGACATATACATAAACATCATAATTTCTATATTTGCATCAACTTAATCCCTGAAAACGGGGGGGCGTAGAAAAAGTTTTTTTTTATAGCAGGAATCCTTAGTTCAGATTTCAGGGTTTGAATTGATAAGAAATACTCACGCGTATTGGCTGCATCTAATTTTCTGTTCATTTGCATCCCATTTTTGAATCTTTTCAGTTTCATCTCAACCCTCTAGTTCTTATCATCATGATCTACAAATCTGAAACTTCAACATTAAATTTATTTTAGGCGAGCATAGCTTGCGTTTTCTTTCTCCCCAAATCGTTTCATTCGTTTCTGTATGCAATTATTTATTGTACTAAAATAGGATGGTGATGTAGCACCTTAATGTAATAGAAATTTCCTGCCACATTGATTTTCATTGGGTATTTGACCGGTTGGAGTAGGAAGATGCCATAAAAAGGGATGGACCCGGTTTGGGCCGCCCGGCCCGCTACTGTGCGGGCCCGGAACCGGCCCGGTTCTCGGGTCCGGGTCCGGTTCGGGCACCGAACCAGTGGGGGGTGGCGGGTCCGGGCTCGGGGCTTGGTTTTGGCGACCTGGCTCGGCCGGCTCGGGCCCGGGCCTATCGGTCAAAATTTTTTTAAAAAAATTCTTTTGGGCTGTTGACCCACTTCCCAAACGGCTATATAGCCGTTGGGCACTTGGGTGGGTACCATGGGGGGTCCGGGGCTTTGGGGGGTGGGGGGTTAAAAAAAACCTATAAATACTCCTATTTTTAAACATTTTTTCACACATCTTCTCCAACTCTTCCTAAATCCTAGATTCCTACTCTCTACTTTCTACTCATCTCCATATTCATCTTCTCAAATTCTTTTATTCTCCATTATATTTTATTTTACTATTTAATACGTATACAATTATTATATCTACTTATATATTAATTATCTACTTATAAATACATATACTATATTACTTATATTTCTTATCTACTTAATCTCTACTTATTATCTACTCATATCTACTTAATACATACACACATACATACTACATCTACTTAATATATACTTTATATATTAAAGTATTAAATATAATTTATAAACTATTAGTATATACTTAATACATAATAATATCTACTTCTCTACTTATATTTCATATATACTTATTTTCTTATTCTCCAATTCTCCATTATACTCTAATATTTAATTCTTATACTCTACTTATATATTAACGGGTTAAATGGCTATATAGCTTAAATAAATATGATAGGACAAATTAATAACCTATATTATGTTTTTTTTAAGTGCATAGCACTTTTGTAGCTAATTTGAGGTTATGTGATTTTAGCTCTTTATGAGCGTGAGTGTTTTTTATTCAATTGAATGAGTTAGTTATGCTATTTATTTAATTTATACAAATGTATGACATAAACTTAATTGTACTTATTTAAAGTTGTATATACACCCAAATATTCCTATATTAATTATCTACTTATATCCACTTAATACATACATTCTACATCTACTTAATATATAGTTTATATATTAAAGTATAAAATATAAGTGTATTTCTCATCTTATAGTAGTATACTTATATATTATATACTATAAACATTATATTATATATTAGTTACACTTTAATTAATATCACTTAAAATCATTCTATTACTCATTTACTCCCATTAATTACTATACACATTCATACATTTGTCTTATTACTTACATTTTTTAATAACATTACTTGATTAGTTAATTAGTATTCCCACTAATTATGCTACCACGATTGGTTGAAGGCCGCACGTAGAACTCAAGAAGTGAGCATCACCCCCTCACAAGAATTTATGGATGACTCAACAACCGATGGTGGCACTACCTATGCCGGAGATTCCGATTGATTAGTATTTTAAGAATTATTATAAAATGTATTTTGTAGCACTTCTAAAATCAATTTGTACTTGTACTTCAAATTTCAAAATTGTGAACTTGTACTTCATGTCTTCATATTTCAAAGTTGTAAATTTGTACGTGTACTTCAAATTAATTTGTAAACTTGTACTTCATATTTCAAATAAATATGCGTTCATTTTTTCATATGTAGCACTTCTCAAATTAATTATTTGGTTACAAACTTACAACTTAAAATTATTTTTCTAAAATCTAAAGGTTGTTTTTAAATTAAAAATACATTTACAATATGTAATCTGTTTAAATACTTATACACTTATTTTGTAACATTTGTAAATTATAAATCAAACCACTTTTCTAAGTAAAATAGTTTTACTTAATTCATTAAATTAATTAACTTATTTTACAATATGTATAATTCAAAAAAAAATTAAATTTTAAAAAAAAAACAGCTCCCAAACGGCTATATAGCCGTTGGGGCTTTGGGTGGGGTGGGGTGGGGGGGGCAGGGGGGTCCCGGGGGTGGTGGTGTGGGGAGTGGGGTTCAAAAACATCTATAAATACATTTATTTTCTAACATTTTTCTACACTTCTTCTCCATCTTCATCTTCTCTTATTATCCTACATTCCTACTTATACATATACCATTTTAAATATGGAAAGTACATCTTCCCTTAAGCAAAACAATTTTGATAAGTGGAAGGACCCGAAGACCGGACTGTGGTGGACCACTTGCAAGTGGTGCAAGAAAGAGTGTAGCTTGGGGGGTTCACACGGATACGGGATGCCAATAAAACATATGAAGTCCTGTGACAAAGGGAAAACAACAACCAACGGTGGCGGAAATCTCAATTGATATTTATTAGAAAATGTATTTCATATTGTTATTTTTTTCTCAATTCTCAAATGTACTCCTATTTCAAATAAATGCACTTGAACTTTGTTTTTAATAAGAATTTGTATAATCTATAATAATTTAAAAAAATTATGACTCGGCCCGGCCCGAACCAGCACTGGCCATAGCCCGGGCCTGTCCCGAGCCAACCTCTACCAGACCCGAGGCCCGACCCGGCCCGAGTCCATCACTAGCCATAAATCTTCATATTTATCAACCACTCTAACTTTTACTTTTAAATAAATAAATCCCTTTCATTCTATAACACAATTAACTTTAGCAATTAAACAGTTGCTCAAAATTTCTTAGAGCACAAAAATAACACACTCTGCAGTTCCGCACTACTTTTCCAGTTTTCCATATAAAAGACTCGGAGTGTATGCCAAAAACGGACCAAACATGCAAGTTCCCAACTCCTAAGTTCATGTATCACAAGCGTTATACTATCGTATTAGGAAACTAGAAAGCTTGTTATAAATCCATAATAACCACTGTTTCGTCGCATTTCTTGTTTCACGTTTCCTTGCATTTCAGGCTTTTCTGATGGAGTAAAGAGTCACTTTGGTCCTCGAAGTTGCAAAAAAGACGTCAAATAAGTCCTTATATAGAAGATTCTTTCCGGACGTGCCATTTGAGGTGGCTCCCGGTGGAATTTTGTGATAAATTTTTTTGAGCATCTTATTCATTAAGTCTAGTTTACTCATACCAAATTTCAGCTAAAAATTCAATCGAGAAGACATTCAAATGAATTCTTGAAGATAACAGCGCTTTTAACGGCACAGTTATCTTCAAGAATTCATTTGAATGTCTTCCCCATTGAATTTTTATCTGAAATTTGGCATGAGTAAACTAGACTTAATGAATAAGATGCTCAAAAAATTTCATCAAAAAATTCCACCGGGAGCCACCTCAAATGGCACGTCTGGACAGAATCTTCTATATAAGGACTTATTTGACCCCTTTTTTGCAACTTCGAGGACCAAACTGACCCTTATCCCTTTTCTAATGTGACTGCACCTGAATTTGAACCCCAGGGAACATGACACAAGATTAAAAATGTTAGCTCTGTTAAAAATGCCTACTGGCTTGTTTGGCTCGGTTAGGAGGGAGAGAAGGGATCAATATTTATATTCAAAATTATTTCTACATTTAGATGATTGAAAATATAGTGGTGACAAAAAACTATATAGGAATACATGAATTAATCGATCATATAATTGTTTCTAGTCTAACGCTACATAAAAATCTATCCTCCCCTGTTCCTTCTGAAATCCCTGCAGCAAACAAGCTTAAAGGTTTTGTCTCAATGGAGAGTTTTGGACGAATTTCGAGGGGAGGGGGCAAACTATGGCTTATAGTCTATTCATCTCTGATACACTACTATAAAATTGTTGTATGACCACAATTTTTGGATCTTTAGTATTATTGGATCTTTGAATGCCGATTCACATACTCCTCGCGTTGATCAATTTGCATGGAATCCTGAAAAGTTCAAACAGAATGAGTTTATCAACATATATACAAATAGACATGCTCTATTCTTGAATTAACAACTCCTGATTCAATTGTTCCATTCAAGATCACAAAATAATAGATTACATACAGTGACACTGGCTTCAGGTCCCACAATCTCCCTCTTTACTCGCGTAGGTTGTGTGTTCCTGCATTATAAGAAATGAAAACAAAGAGGGCCTTCAACAACTTGAGAAAGCTTGAGATGACTTATTTTCATAGAATCACAATTGTTCTTAGAGCAAACAGAGTACTTGTATGTCAAAAAGAAGTTTTTGGCAGAAATATATGAAAACATGCCTTTAGCAGTAAAAACCGCTTTAATGCTTATTTAAGAAAGTGGTAGAATGATGTTTTTTCCGAAATAAGCAAACTAGGCTTAAATGAAAAAGCACTCACGACATACAGTGTGTTTCCCGTTGCCTTTTGAAAAGTTATGCGCTTTTTGCTTTCAAAGCCCTAAAACAGAGTTTTTAAGTAGGCCTTTCGCCTTAACTTTAAGCACTTATATTTTAAAATACTACGGAGTATCATCTTTTCGAATTAAATATTTTCTCAATAATCACTACTAAGAGCTAAATAATAAATGCAGACACTCCTAAGAGCTATCCCAATCACGTTCTAAATGAGGAAAATGATAAAACAATAAATAGAAAAATGGAATAAGGATATACCAAACTTCATCCCTCGGTTCATACTTTACATCAGAATCATGATCCCGCCACCTTACATCTTTACAATCTTGATCCTCATCATCCTGAAGATGAGTGATGAACAATGTGCAAATTAATGCTTTAGAAATCATATATTTAATACTATTTTAAAGCAAGTTAGGGGGTGAAATATTCCATTTGTCCAACATCTATCCCGCCCATACAAACGTCAATCCATCTATCGGGTGAATCTTACGGAAAATATTAATGCTAATAGATTGGGCTGAATCCATGCAAAGAATTATAAGAAACGTTAGTTCTCGGTTCTCTTTCTAAAGAATGACTATGCATTTGTCAATCATCTCTGAGCAACCGTACATAGAAAGTAATAACAAAATGGATGGATTGCATATCCAACGGGAAAAATTGTCAATGGATGAATTATCATATAAACAGATTTTTTTTCAGCAAGCTTTGGATGGATCACAAATGAATTCTTGGAAAGGATGTATCATCATACAAAACTTTCTTACTGGATCATAAATGAATTCATGAATTGTTTTCAGCAATCCATTAAGCGTCCATAATCCGAATAAAACACTTATCAGTTCATCCAATTACCTCTGGAAGTTCAGTACCCGGGGGGCGCTCCTGGAATTGAACACTTGGTGCATGCTGAAGTTTTGAGAGATTTTCTAGCAGCTTTGATCGCATTTCTTCTAACATTTGACGAGAATTTTTGTTCTCCATATTACTCGGAGCGACATGAAGAGTATAATCCGGGCCAAAATACTCATAATATTCATGCTGTGGCATTTTATCTTCAAGTTCTATTCCAAGAGCAACTCCGGTCTGTTCAAATATAAAGCAATTTTATGTGTTGGTTAAAAAGTTTAGAAACAAGGCTTCTTTTTAGGGGGGGAGCATTTAAATTTTATACTGCTAGATCCAAATTAGTGTCAAGAAGAAGAGAAATACTTCATAGCACCAGCAACGAGCTACGTTGCGTATAGTGTATCCGCCGCCACCCAGCAATAGCAATGGTACATTAAAAGACCTCATATATCTCACACATTCTGCATGCCCTTTAATTGAGAGATTGAAGCAACCCAATCTATCTCCAGACAATGAATCGGCACCGCATTGCAACACCACAGCACTGGGCTTAAAAACTTCCATCACTTTGCTCATTATTGGCTTAAACAGAATTTGATAGCTCTCATCATCAATACCATCATCTAATGGGACGTTAAGGGAGTAATATTTCCCCTTCCCATGTCCGATATCTTCTATATCCCCAGTACCGGGAAAATAATCTTCATATTTATGAAATGAAACCGTCATGACCCTGTCTGTAGTATAAAAGGCCTCTTCAACACCATCACCATGATGGATATCAATATCTACATACAAGACTCTCTGCCATGTTACACACCACAAAAGGTGGGCTATTAGTAGTTGGGAAAATATTTCAAATGTATATAGAAAATAATGTAGTTCAAATAATCAATACACAATAAACCAACTCATCTACAACGATAACATTTGAAAAGGTTTTCAGTAAATAGGAAATCCAAAATCCATCATCACTGATGAGGGATGCATATGAGGCCAGCTAAGGTAATTTCGATGAGCAAACATAAACAGGATAAAGGACTTGTGGATAATATAAATTTGGGAGAACTATCAAATAAGCCCTCGAACTTACATAAAAAGTGCAAATCACCCCTTATGTAGGAGGCTCTGTCTGACCGTCGCCGTTTGGGGCGGTTCCCGGTGGAATTTTTTCATGAATTTTTTTGAGCATCTTATTCATAAAGTCTAGTTTACTCATACCAAATTTCAGATAAAAATTCAATCGGGAAGGCAGTCAAATGAATTTTTGAAGATAAATGTGCAGTTAAACAGCGCAGTACATTTCAGAAAATCACTTCACTGTCTTCCTGGTTGAATTTTTCTGAAATTTGGTATATGGGTAAACTAGACTTAATGAAGAAGATGCTCAAAAAAATTCATCACAAAATTCCACCGGGAACGCCCCAAAAGGCGACGGCTGGACAGAGCCTCCTATATAAGGGGTGATTTGCACTTTTAAAGTAAGTTTGAGGGTTTATTTGGTAGTTGTCCCTATAAATTTATAATAGCACTACACATTGCATTATGCCATGTAAGGTTATTATATGTTGATAAGATATCCAAAATTCCAAACTAAGTGCATGATATATATTGGTAAAGGTGGATAGGTCATGAGTGCAAGTTATGATTCTCATGAAGTTCAATCCTGTAATATTACAAGAAAATAAGAAACTGTAATCTTATTCACCATAATTTGACAAAGGAATTAATGCAAATTGAAGCTAAGACCCGCATTGATTGACGATCCTAGTTTTACATAGATAAGCCTACAAAGATTCCTTATGCATAAGAATTACAGGATTACAGAATTACAGAATTTTTGAAAAAGAAATAAAACACTATATGAGGTATCTGGTTAAATACATTACTCGAAAGGCTTAAAGCCTTTGATTCCTATAGTTGAGAACAGATGATTCAAAACATCTGATAGAATAGGGCATGTGTGAAATTTACGGTTATACTGAAGTATAACACCTTATGAAAAGAGTCTAGAACATTCTGTTCAAAACCTTTTCCAAATCTCAGTTTTGTACTTTTCCAAAACTAATCTTCACGCACATAAATTGTGAAAAAAAGCCTAGAACCGTAGTAAAATGCGGATGACTAATCTTTTATCATGTCCTGACACAGGAGTCTTTCTTTAATTATATGAAAGATGCAGAAACAGGTTCTAGTGGATAAGGGGAAGACATATGTGTATTGACGCCCCCAGGGGTGAAGGTAGGGGGTCAAACTAGGCCCCGTCCCACCACAAATTTAAATTTTCTTTTGATTATTAATGTAAACAATTCGTGTAAAAATCTGTTCAAAGAATTATCTGTACCGGTCCAGCGCAGTGCCCTGGCTACACCCATGCCCCCATGCCCCCCCCCCAAAAAAAAAAAAATGGTTTTACATTCAGAAGCACTCAAGAAAATATTGTAGGTTAAAAAATTATCAGAAACCAACCTGGTGATCTTTAAGAAGCTCTAAGATGGCAAGCACTATGTCATTCACATAGCAAAAACCTGAAGCCTCACACTTCTTAGCATGGTGCAACCCACCGGACCAATTGACAGCAATATCACATATCCCGTGATTTAATTTCACTGCCCCGCCAACAGAACCACCAGCATATGTTTGACAGAAGGAGTACAGACCATCAAACACAGGACAGTCTTCTCCAACATTAAACCTCTTCAGCTGCCTAAGATTATCTTGTTGTGTTTCTGGAGTTATGCTTTTCAAGAAAGCAACATAATCATCAGCATGGAACCTGCAAAGATCCTTATCTCTAGCAGGAGAAGGCTTCAGTACATGCATATGTTGTAGTAGTCCGTAGTGCGCAAGAAGGGCATGCGTCATCCGAACTCTGTGTGGCTTCATTGGATGACCTTGACCATAATAATAATTCCCAACTTCTGGGTCATAGAAATAGCATACCTTCCGCTTCTTCCCATCTGGTCCAGATGATAATGAGTTCCCTCCTGAGTCCATTGCCTATACTAGAGGTGACCACTTAAAGTTAGATGACAAAAATAAGTCCTGACTCCTGATAGCTAACAAATAACATTTGTAATATAATGGAAACAGAAGTGAACAAATTTACTGGCCATGGTACAATTATGGGTATGCTTGGGTAAGGTTTTGGTGGGGAATAGAGGAGACAGGTTATTTTTTATTTTTTAAATTAAGAGGACTATATATAGTTTGTGGTAATAAATAAATGACTATTTTATCTTTATATTTCGGGAAAACTATCAATCAGCTCTCATACTATATTGAAAACGGCTATTAATTTTCTTTATTTGCTATGTCCTTATTCCATTTCCCAGGACAATGTTGTTTCACTCCATCCATGCTCAACCCTGCGGGCACGCATCTGCCCTCTTATGTCAGCCACAACTACCGGAGTCAAAAGGAATGCGGTTCTGATTTCAGTGTGAAAAAGGATTCATTTAATTGGAAAACTCACAAAATCAATACCAGTATATTGGCACATGAATTTCTGAAAGCTCTGAGTAGGAGTATTAATGTCTACTGATTGAAACGAACATACTGAAAGCCCAATTTCAAGGAATTTGTAGGCCTAACCTAATCAGTTATCCGTTCCCTTCTCATTATTTTGATCTCATTAATTGAATTCAACATTTTTGCTTAATGGCTTACAAGCCATTTTTTCTGTGGATTGGCTGGAGAGTTAAGATGAAGAACAGCTATGGCAAGTTGAAGGAGTTGAATATGAGCTTCAATTCTTCCGCCCTCTTCTGTCGTACTTCATATTCTTACATCTGGTGCAGCAATGGCGAATCCATGGTGACTCTCAGTACTTTAGATGCCCTCTCATAGTATTAATGACCAAAAAAGAAAAACAATTACAGCCACATTATCAGCCATACCAGCGCCTTACGGGATAACCTATTCGTGATGAGTTAAAACCCAAGATTGGGTGCTTTTTCATACTTTGGGGGTTGATTGAGAGATTTGATAGTGCAGGGCTTGATTGACTCTTTTCCTATAGTACAAGGCTACAAGCCTATAGAGAGTTAGGGGCTATTTGAAACTTCTTCCTTTTTTTTTATACTCTGCAAAATTAAAGCACTATTTTCTTAATATGAAAAATAACTCCTCCCATCTCAATCATACAAGGTATTTACAGATATTTAAAGATATTTACAGACTTGCTCGTCTTCGTGAATGTAGGACTCAAGATATAGGAAAAGTTAAGTGTGTGAAGAATGTCGATCAAAGAGTACTAATGGAGGACGGGGAGATAAAAGAGAGGTGGAGGTCTTACTTTGATACACTATTCAACGGGAACAAAACGCAAGATATCGGTGAATTGACCATACCAGATTGTATGGTAAATCGTGATTTTGTGAGAAGGATCTAAACAACGGAAGTTAAGGAGGCTATGAGGAAGATGGGGCGGAAGAAAGCAGTGGGTCCAGATGGCATACCGATCGAGGCTTGGAGAAGTTTGGGAGAGAGAGGCGTCGAGTGGTTAACAAGTTTCTTCAACATGATTTGGAGAAACAACAAGATGCCAACAAGTTGGAGGAAGAGTACTCTTATCCCCTTATTCAAGAATAAAGGTGATGTACAAGAATGTGCCAACTATCGAGGGATTAAGCTTATGAGTCACAACATGAAACTTTGGGAGCGAGTGATTGAGCAAAGACTTCGAAAAACTGTGAAGATTTCAGAGAATCAATTCGGTTTTATGCCTGGTCACTCAACAACTGAGGCCATTCACCTTCTCCGGCAACTTATGGAGAAGTATAGAGACACTCACAAGGATCTGCATTTGGTGTTCATTGACTTAGAAAAGGCTTATGATAGGGTATCTCGAGAAGTTCTTTGGTGGGCCTTAACTAGAAAAGACATATCACGCAAGTATATCAGCATCATCATGGATACTTACTCCGTTCCTTTTTAATTGCAACAGTCAACATTTTACGTTTGTCAACGCACAAGTTCGACCATTAATGTCTTTCATTTCTTATTAGTAAAAAATTTAAAAAATTCATATTTTGAAATTTTAGAATGAGAAGAATTTAACAATATTTTTAAAAAAAATTAATTTATACTCCCTCCATCCCTAAAAGGATTGCCAAGTTTGACCGGCACGTAGAATAATAAAGTAAAAATTGTGTGGTAGAGATTTGTGCAGAGGAGAGAGAAATAACAGGATCCACAAATTGATTGATTAAAAGGGAAAGTGGCAAAGTTTTTGGGACAACCAAAAAAGGAAAGTTGGCAAAGTTATAAGGGACGGAGGAAGTAATACATTAATTAATAAAATATAGTCAAAGTAGAATATGTGAATAATGCAAAAAGTCCAATGTTGCAATTAAAAGAGAACGGAGGTAGTATGTATGAGGATTGTACTACAAGTGTTCGTACTAATGTAGGGAGGACTGCGGAGTTCCCTATTACTATTGTAGTGCACCAAGGATCGGCTTTGAGCCCTTTCTTATTTGTCATAGTCATGGATGAACTTACGAAGTCAATTCAAGACGAAATACCGTGGTGCATGATGTTTGCCAACGGTATTGTATTGATTGATGAGACGCAATCAGGTCTTAAAGCAAAGTTGGAAGTATGGCGACAAACATTGGACAACAAGGGTTTCAGACTAAGTCGGAGCAAGACAGAGTACATGGAGTGCAAGTTTGGTGGAGGTAGAAGCAGTGGTAATAGTGGAATTACTCTAGATGGAATTAGTGATATGTTCCGTTACTTGGGGTCCATAATTCAGAAGGACGGTGAGCTAGATGGAGATGTATCCCATAGAATCAGAACAAGGTGGATGAAGTGGAAGAGTGCATCACGATTTCTATGTGATAGAGGTATGCCGACTAGACTGAAAGGTAAATTTTATAGGATGGCAATTAGGCCTGCATTGCTGTATGGCGTAGAGTGTTGGGCGGTGAAACAATCTCACATTCAAAAGATGAGTGGGGCAGAGATGTGCATGTTGCTTGGATGTGTGGGCATACTAGGAAGGACCACGTGCGAAATGAGACAATCAGACAAAGGGTGGGAGTAGCACCTATTGAAGACAAGATGCGGGAGTCTCGCCTACGATGGTTTGGTCATGTGCGTAGAAGACCGAGTGATGCACCTGTCAGACGTTTTGAGATGTGTGGAGAAGAGGCAGGGAAGAGAGGGAGAGGAAGACTCAAACAGACGTGGGTTAGGGGAGTCCGAAGTGATATGCTTCTTCTTGGGTTAGATGAGGGTATGGCTTTAGAAAGAGTAAAGTGAAGGACGAGTATTTGAGTGGAGGAGTGATCTCGTATTATGTTTTTCCCTCATCTTTTTTTTTATTTTTTTTATTTTTATCCTTTTTATTTTATCATTTTTAGGTATATTCATCTCGTTATATATTATATTTTTATAATAGCTTATTTTTTTATCTTTATTTTCTTTCTTTTCATTTTGGTGGTGATATCATGTATCGATTCATGTTAGCCGACCCCAATATCTTTTGGGACTAAGGTTTGGATGTTGTTGTTGTTATCTCAATCATATAAGGTTCCAAAAATTGTTCCAAAACAGTAACACGTATCCTTCTCAATATATGGCTTGAAGGGCTTAAAGATAGGGCTTGGGGCCTTGGAGGGCTTAAAGATCCCATCTTTTCCTTAAAATCTGCAACACCAAAATAAACCCAAAACCCCAAATATTTGCAAACTTAAATTAGATAGAAATATACACCTATGAGGTAGGGCTTGGCAGAGAAACAACTAATTTGGTTGATACGGCTTCAATTAGTCGTTTAAGAAACACCTCTGGTTGCAATTCTTTGATCAAGAAGTGGAATATACACAATAAATCGAACTTTAAGTAAAAAAAACACCGAACCCTCGAAATTATCGAGGAGGAAGGATACAAATCAAAGAAAGTCCAACATGAAGCATAACAAAAATCGTGAGAGCATATACAAAACAAACATAGCAAGATAACATACGTACGTACAATCATCAAAGACTGGGAGAGAGCAGACCTGGGAGAGAGGAAGGCAGAGTGGAAGTTAACGGTTGTTAACGGACACGATGATGATAGATGGATATTTTCAGACTTTCAGAGCGATTGGTGGAGTCGTAAGTTTATGCAGCTTTGAACCCACAAGGGAGGGGAAAGAAGAGGGTCCGAGGATGCGAATTTCGTGAGACTTCAGTCTCATGTAAAGTTGTAAACAAAAATCTCCTATATGAATTTCCTTTGATTTTGAAAGATGTTTTTTAAAATGAATCTTATCAATTCAGAACCTCAAAGATAAGAGGTAAGATTAAGTGATAGAAAATTATTAATGTAGGACCTAACATTTCACAGGTGTTGATTGATTTATTTATTTTTATTAATTCCATTACTAATTTTCGATAAACTTTTTCTCACAAACGTTTATTAGTTTCATAAAACTAAATAATTTTTAAATTTTTTAAAATAATAAAATTAAAAAAATTCATGACAATGTAAGCCCTAAACTGACAATTTTGAATCATTCAGGTCCTAGATTGATACATTCGAGCTGGTTGGTTTGAAGGGTCAGGGATACCTCGTCCCTCTCTTCTCACTCCATCTTTTCGAGATGGCGCTGGTGATGTCACCTCCATCTCCACCACCGGATGATTAGTTGGAGCTTGAGTTCCATGTGGTTGAGGAGGCTTTTGACCGCTAGAAATTGCACGACGTATGTCCTTCGCAAGAGTACCTAACATCTTGGTCATCCCTAGAATGGCACCATGGACGTCAGGCACTTCTACGGAAACCACCGCAGGGCGACTGAGTCGGTTACGAAGATCTTGACCCGATGAGTTGGACGCAGTGTGTCCATCAGCGGTACATCCTTCTCAGCCTTGGTATTAGCCATTGTTACCATGTCTAAAATTGCCTGAGTGTATCTCCGACTCTCAACGAGAACACCAAAATGATGGAAGTAAATCCGCTGGAAAATAATTAATAGATAGCCGAAAATAATTAAAACACTCAGAATAATACTTAGAGAGATAAATGTATGTAGTGTATTCAATGTATTGAGCTTCATCGTTCTTACAAGAGTTACATAAATTTATAATACAAAATTGTGACAAGAAATATTCGAGCGACATGGTCACCATGCCTGAATTGACGCGCCACTATCCTGTGATTTGTGGGACGGATCGCGAGTTGATCCATGATCTTCCAGATTCGCTGTTGGTCACGTAGCTTCTTGGAAGTAGCATCATGTGCAATGGTCTAAGCTGTTGTGCACCACGCGTGTAGAGGTGCGCCATGTGACGCTTAGCATGCCACATGCAAATCCCATGGTAGAGGTAAGACTGTGTCATGCTCAGCATGTCATGTCTAAGCTTCATTGTAAAGACAAGATCACGTCATGTTCAGCGCCATATCTTTGTAAATGTGACTCCATGATTCTCATATATTGACCATGTATTTCCTTGGGCCTGATGTCCATGTTCATCTTGTCCATCTTATTTATCAAAGTAACCACACAAAACCTTATAAATAAGATTGGCTTATCGTAAATCAACTCCACTTTCAAAGGCTAAAGGGTCAAATAGGTACATGAACTAACTTAAAGTGTTCAATTAACCCCCTTATATCGGAGGTTCTGTTCGGCCCGTCACCAATTGGGAAGGTTCCCGGTTGAATTTTTTGATGAAATGTTTTGAGCATCTTCTTCATTGTGTCTAGTTTACTCATATCAAATTTCAGCTAAAAATTAAATCGGGAAGGTAGTCAAATGATTTTCCTAAATGTACCGCGTTGTTTAACTGCGCAGTTATCTTCAAAAAATCATTTGACTGTCTTCCCGGTTGAATTTTTAGCTAAAATTTGGTATGAGCAAACTAGACTTAATGAAGAAGATTCTCAAAAAAAATCATCAAAAAATTATACCGGGAACCGCCTCAATTGACGACGGTCGGGAAAAACCTCCTATATAAGGGGTTAATTGAACACTTTAAGTTAGTTCATGTACCTATTTGACCCTTTAGCCCACTTTCAAATAAACGTACTCGTAGCAAGTACTCCGTACTAACCACTACTCCGTAAGTAGTTGTAGCTGATTTTTGTACGCTTTGTTCACTTCCAAAACCACACTTCCGTTTCCTTTGCCAACTCTCTCAGGCGCCGTCTCTAATCCAATCGCTCTGTTTCCCCCCTCATTTTGGTTTCTCAATCTCAGGCCATCATCTTTCTCCCTGTTTTTTAAAGACTCAATTTTTCCTACTGTTTGACAACAGCTACCGCTTCAGCCGTTCCAATGCAAGCCCACTCAGTCACTTCACCTTCTACTCTCACACCGGCGGCCGCCCGCCACTTTTCCGCCGCAATCCGCCGGGCCAGTTTCTCCCCATGTAGGCCCCACGCAAGAAATCCCACCACATTCGCTGCCAAAGCCGCCCCAGAAACCGTCCCGCCTCCGCCCCAGCCCGGCGCCTCCTCCGTGAAGCTGAACAAGTACAGCTCGCGCATCACGGAGCCCAAGTCACAGGGCGCCTCGCAGGCCGTGCTCTATGGGGTGGGTCTCTCCGATGATGATATGGGCAAGCCCCAAATTGGGATTTCATCCGTCTGGTACGAGGGGAACACTTGCAATATGCACTTGCTCAAGCTCGCGGAGGCTGTGAAGGAGGGTGTCACAGAGGCCGGCATGGTAGGGTTCAGGTTCAATACTATTGGGGTCAGCGATGCTATTTCAATGGGGACGAGAGGAATGTGCTATAGCCTTCAGTCAAGGGACTTGATTGCCGATAGTATTGAGACTGTCATGTCTGCTCAGTGGTACGATGGAAACATATCTATCCCTGGCTGCGACAAAAATGTGAGATTTCTGTTAATGGGTTTTAAGGATTTCTCGATTTCTTTTTGTTGGCAGTGATATGTTTTGTGGGGTTTATTAAAGGTAAAGCTTTGTCTGGTTAATGGTTATCTGCAATGATTTGCTAATGGTCTTGAGTCTTGACTCTTGCTTGTGGTTTGAAAATCAGGATGGAAGTTGGAATCTTTAGTTTTAGTTATTTTCCTCACAGGCGGCCTGTTTGAGACCAGGGGATATTCATGATTCGCCTAATGATTATATTCAATTCTTTTGCCTATTTAAGGAAGTACACGAAAATTGTGCAACTCAATAGACCCGAGAAGATGTGAGAGCTTAAAAGATGCTATGTACATGCTTTGAAGGAAATATCTGAAGCAAATGTGCCATAAAAAGACACAAAAGTTTTCATTTTTCTTCTTCTTATGTTGTATCCAAATGCACTTCTTTCAATTAAGAATCAGTTTTGACTCGCAAGGGTAGCTGAGTTGGTGGGGCAGTGAAGATGGTAACCAGAAGGTCCTATGTTTGAATCCCTCAAGGGATATCCAATTGGTGTATTTAGTTTAGCCTGTCAGTTTTGGTTCATCGCAGGCTGATTAACATCTGCAACCTTTGCTTGCTTAGGCCATGAAGTACGGGTGTACGTAGTGTGGACCTTAAGGTAATGGTTGCGGCTTGTGGGTCTCTGCATCATATAAAAAGAACCAAATCTGTAAGACCATGTTTGAATGACCATGTATTCAAGTTGCTTGGGGAAACTGACAAAAAATATTCAGCTTTTTATCTAAATACTACTCTGTAATTCATTGCAGAAAATGTATGATGCCCTTTTCTAATTGTCCCTAATCTTTGGTATTGTAACCTACTAACCTGGCAATAATAATTAACATTAAGGGTTTTAGCATCACTTCACTCAGTGTATAATTTGAAACATCCAAGATGTTAGGATGCACTGTGCTTGACTTGTTCAAATCTCAGCAATAAGATTTTTTTTCTATTATTTCTTTTTAGGAGCTTAGGTGGTTGTGTACTTCATATCTTTTTGAGAGTCATGTTATCTTGGTATGCAGAGAAGACAAAAAAGACTTCTCAGCCTCAATTCAGATTGATTAATAACACTTTTTTTTAGTTTGTAGCATCATCTAGGTTCATCTTGCCTTGTTGAATAAAAGTCAGTGCTTGTAAAAATTAAGGAAATTCATGTTCTTGACCTTGTGCTGGAGCATGAATGCATAACAAAGAAATAGATCAGTGGTTACAAAAAGGCAAACATGGGAATTCCCCTGATGAAAGCAAGAAAACTATGAACTCAATCACACAAAATTTTGCATGCCTTGGTCATTTCAAAGATTTCTTTTGATTCATGCATGCGATTAATTCTTGTTCATTTTATTAGTGACTAATAGTACTTGTTATCTCATTCTGATGCTTTTTCCATTAGGCCATGACATTATGCTCTTAATTAATTATCTCATTCTTAGTCTGTTAGTACATTATTGCTTTATGTGTGTGCATTTGGGGGAGATGGGTAGTATATGTATGAGGTCTATCCCAGCAGTAAAAAGTCACCTAATTAAAAAGTCTCCTGTTTCCTCGTATCCTTTATAGTTTGTTTATTTATTTATTGATTGATACATCTATCCTTTCATAATAAATAAGTTAATACATATATGTATAGTCTTTATGCCCTCCGTAGTAGGAATCTATGATAATTTCAAATTACCGGCTTATCTCATACTATGTAATTTATTGGCATCATCATTGCAGATGCCAGGTACAATTATGGCAATGGGGCGGCTGAATAGGCCCAGCATTATGGTTTATGGTGGAACTATCAAGGTTAGATACTTAGATACTTAAATGCACCTTTATGTTCCATTTGAGAACAAGCTTTTCTTGTTCATTTTCTAAACTTCTGTTGTTGCAAGATATTATTTTAACATGACTGATAAGCGATGAGGCAGCTCCTTTTTATTTATCAAAACTCTCCTGTATCCATGAATTCATCGCATATCTAAGAATTTGAGTAATGGAAAATTGGAAAGTATTACACACTATTTATTAAAAAAGATATACAGAATATCAGTCCAGTCACATTTTCAAATGTCTTGTTGATGTGGACAAATAACTACTCTGCATGAACTGGATAACCATGCTCATGCATTCATGTGGAATTTTAAGATGAGACTAGTCAATGGATGTAGGAAATACAAGATTATTTGTTAGTGCAGAGCAGTCTTTGGAATCTTATACACTCAAGAGTTAAAGTTGCATCCGCATATCAAGTCAATGTTCTATCAATGTGCATTACGAACCTATGACATATGATCTGTATTCTTCAAGCTCAACATCTACTTTGTGTTCAAGTGGCTATATCTACTTGGCCTCATATTTTGTCTAGAACGGGAAGATCTC